AACTGAAAGTACAGAGTGGGAGGGGAGCAGCCAAGCTGAACTCCCTTCTTCTCCCAGGGGAAGGAAAGCTTTGCCATCCTTCCCACTCCAGACCACTCTGGTCCCTAAGTCCAGAGTGTCAGAACCAGGGGCCTCTGGGCATGTCTGCCACTCCCACTGGTTTCCAGAATACAGACTTACAGGTCCTGCACAGGCACAAATGTTCAGACGGAACATTTCTAGAACAGAAAATGACTTACAGACATTAAGACCAAGACAAACTACAAGACATCCTTACCTCCTGCTGATCTGAGGAAATGGGTCTGGGGCAACCAAATCCCGGACGAGCGCCCAAATGTTGGACCCCCCCCCAGCCTGGGGTACCCAATGTCCACGGGAGGTCGCACCCAAATAACTCAGTCCTCAGACCTGGAGATGCAACAAGCAAGAGGATTTAATCGTTTGTGCAGACAGGCTCCTGCCTCGGAGAGAGCAGCAGCAGCCCAGAGCTCAGCTTACAAGCTTCTTTTAAAGCCAAAAACCACAAACTACAAGCGGTAGAAGTGGGAGGGGGTAGTTTCGGGTAAGCGGCAGAAGCGGCAGAAGTGGGAGGGGGAGCGGCAGTAGTGGGAGGAAGTTTCGGGTGATTTTCAGCTTTATGCGTGGAGCATGAAAAGGTCAGCTTTGTCTCAGTAGTTAGAATTTTATATCTTACTTCCTTGTACAGTTTCCCAGAATATTCTTCTTTTGGTCTGGGGGGACTTGGTTTGATTCCATCAAATGTATATTGGAAAATATGAGGAAATAAGATAAAGTGGATGGTGCGAGGCCAAATTTTGGACAGATCTGTAAGTTAAAGACAAGCTATCCTTTGCAAAATGTAGTTTCTTAGGCTAGCAAGATGGCTTGGCAGGTAAGAGCAAATTACTCTGTCTTCCTGGGACTCAGTATCCAACATCATAGGAATTATAATTACAGTTAAATGAGTTAATCCGCTGGGTGTGGTGGCACAAAGCCTTTAGTCCCAGCACTTGGGAGGCAGAGGCAGGAAGATCTCTGTGAGTTCAAGGCCAGCCTGGTCTCCATAGCGAATCCCCAACGCTGGGGAGGCAGAGGCAGGCGGATCTCTGTGAGTTCAAGGCCAGCCTGGTCTCCATAGCGAATCCAGGCCAGCTGTGGCTACAAGGACCTATCTCAAAAAGACCAAAAAAATAAAAAATAAAAAAAAAATAAAATAAATGAGTTAATCCATGCAGAATACTTAAAACAATGCCTGGTTAGCCGGGTGTGATGGCCCATGTCTATAGTCCCAGCACTCTGGAGGTAGAGGCAGCTTCCTCTCTCTGAGTTTAAGACTAGCCTGGTCTACATAGTGAGTTCCAGGACAGCTGGCACTACAGGAAGACCCTGTTTCAAAAAGACCAAAACAAAAACAAATACAAAAGAAAACAAAAAAAACACCAATGCCTGGCACATACTTAGCATTGAGTAAGTGCTACCTCTTCATATGCAGTAGGGCATGTTTTGACACTCTTTAGTAAGAGAGAAATCAAATTCTAAGTGGTAGATACAGAATCAAAGTCTGAGGATATTTACAAAGAGGAAACTCAAAATTCCAGGGGTAACTTTAAATCTGCTCATAATTTGAAGTTCATGAGTTAAATGAGATGAACGAGATGAACAATACCAAATATCATTTGACTCTGGGGACACTTAATTAGTTGATGTCAGGGCAGGGAAAATAACTGCATAGTTATAACTGAAAGGGGAAGTGGAACTCTATATAGATCTTTGCCTAGGATGGTTTATTTGATTTATTTTTGTTGTGATGGGGATTGGACACAGGGCCTTATATATGGTAGCAAACAACCACTGAGGTATCCTTTCAGCTCTAGAAGGTTCATTTGGTCAAAAAAGTTCAAGTTATTTCTCATACATACATCAAACAATAGCACCTTCAATGGAATACTAGTGAGCTGTGGCAATAATTTGACTGAAGAAACAATGATTATGTGGGCTGGTGAGATGGCTCAGTAGGCACTTGCAGCCAAGCCTGATGACCTGAGTTCAACTCCTACCCACATGGTAGGAGTTCTAGAACCAATTTCTGAGAGTTGTCCTCTGACCTCCACACACATTGTGGCACAAGCACCCAACTACACATATACACCCATACAATAAATACATATTTTTAAAAGTATGATAGAGATGCTGGGCGTGGTGGTGCATGCCTTTAATCCCAGCACCTGGGAGGCAGAGGCAGGCAGATCTCTGTGAGTTCGAGGTCAGCCGCCTTGTTTACATAGCAAGTTCCGGCCCAGCTGAGGCTACAGCTGTCTCAAAAAGAAAAAAAAAAAAAAAAAAAAAAAAAAAAAACCAAAATAAATAAATAAAATGTATGATTACTAAGTACTAGTGACTATGTGTTTTGTTATCTTTTGTGAAAAACTCATTCCTCTATCTGGTTACACTAAGCAGAAAAACAAAAACATTAGCAGTGACCCCAGCTTTGATGAAAGAAGGAATGCTCTTTATGCCCGAAGTCCTATCCTAAGTGCTTTACATATATTATAGAGTCTTATTTAATCAAGTAAGGTAGGGGTGATGATTCTCATTTTATAGATGAGAAAACGGAGACTTTAGAGATTAATTTTTCAACAATAATCATTGTAGAGCAGGGATTTAATCTCAGATGTCTATGATCCCCAAATCCATATTTCTATGTCTTACATTCTATTGTTTATGGGTTGTTTTTTTTTGTTTGTTTTTTGTCTTTTTGAGACATGGTCTCCCTGTAGCCCAGCAGGCCTGGAACTCACTATGTGAACCAGGTCTGGTGTCAGAGATCCACCTGCCTCTGCCTCCTGAGTGCTGGGATTAAAGGCATGAACCATCAGGTCTGGCTACTTTTTGTTTTTAAAAACATTTTATTTTTAATTACATATGTGTGTCTGTGTATAAGTATGAGCATGTGAGTGTACGTGTCCTTAGAGGCTGAAGAGGCTGCCAGATGCCCTGGAGCTGGAGCTGTAGGTGGTTGTGAGCTGCCCTCCCCCCTCCATGAAGGTGCTAGGAATAGAACTTTGGTCCTCTGCAATTAAACAGTACTCTCTCTTATATCTCTCCAGCCCCCACTTTATTTTTTTAAAAGATTTAAAAATTTTGGACTGGAGAGATGACTCAGAGTTTAAGAGCACTTACTACTTTTGCTGAGTACCCAAGTTCAATTCCCAGCACCCACATGGCAGCTAACAACCATCCAATATCCATAACTCCAGTTCCAGGTGAATCTGATGCCCTCTTCTGACCCCTTCAGGCATTGCACAACACAGGTGCAGTTACACACATGCAGCCAATACACTCATACTCATAAAATGCAAATAATAAATAAAATGTTTAAAATTTTTATTTTTATGTGTATGAGTGTTTTGCCTGCCAGTAAGTGTACCACGTATGTACAATGCCCACAGAGTCCAGAAGAGGGTATTGGATCCCCTGGAACTGGAGTTACAGATTGTTGTGAGCCCCCATGTGGGTGCTGGGAACTGAACCTGTGTCCTCTGCAAGAGCAACCAGTGCTCTTAACCATGGAGCCATCTCTCCAGTCCCCATTCTACACTTTTATTTTTATTTTATTTGTGTGAGTGTTTTGCCTGCATGTATGTAAGTGCAACTGCACATGCAATGACTGCAGAGACCAGAAGAGGGCATCAGATTTCCTGGAACTGGAGTTACATGCAGAGATGCTGGGACCCTAACCCAGTTCTCTGGAAGAACAGCCAGCCATCTCTCCAGCCCCCGATTCTACACTTTAGAATGCAGTGTCTGGATCTGAAGTGGATATGTCCCACATCACGCCTACCTTCCTGTTAAGGTCTTTCCTCCAAAACTCTCTGCACTTCTCACATGCCTTCTGCTTGTTGGCTCACCAGGTCTTACACAGCCTTATTTAACTGATTCCCCTCATCTAATCCGGCTATCCCCCATAGTCTCTAACCTCTTTCCTCCTTCTCTCCAGCAAAGTCCTACACATGACAAGCCTTTTCTTTCCTTCTCCCCCATAATGATTTGGTTGCTAGTGAGGAATTAGCTCATAGAACAGGCATACAGACCTTTTGCGCACTCTCTAACCTCTGTCCAAGACTGTGAACTATTGTGGAATTTCAGCTAACACTGTTGACTCTATCTCTGACTGCCCCCGGGACGTTGTTTGTCCTCAGAATGAAGACAGAGCATATTTTTCTTCTTTTCACTAATAAAAGTGAGCCCTAACTCTGTCTAGACACTGAGGCGAATAAAAACCATAGACTTATTCTCAAGGGATCAGAGCTTTCCTCAATTATTGGATAAGTATTAAATCATTGGGCCAGACACCATGTAAAATGCATGAGGGTTGGGATTTTGAAGTTTTTTATGGAGATAGCATGAGGTGGGGGGGGGTATCTTTGTTTCATTGTTGTCTCTTCGGTACTTTGAACATAGTAGGTGATCAATCAATGACACAAAATTGACGTTTTTCCAGTTTCACAGCCAGTACATAGTAGGCACTCAATTAAAAGTGACTAACAAGAGGCCGGGAGTGATGGCGCATACCTTTAATTCCAGCACTCGGGAAGCAGAGGCAGGCGGACATTTGCGAGTTCAAGGCCAGCCTGATCTACACAGTGAGTTTCAGGGGCTACAGGGAGACTATCTCAACCCCCCCCCCCAAAAAAAAAAGTGACTAACAAGAAAGCTACTGTTAAGAAAGCGTCCAAAGACCTGTCAGCCAATCGGAAGCTAGGGGCGGAACTAGGGGCAGAGGGCGTGCCTGACCCGGGTCTGTCGCTTAGAGCATGCGCAGTCAACACAGAGGAGCTGAGACAGCCGTCGAGACCGCGATTGCGTAGGAGCGGCTTCTGATTGGCCACTGTTCGGGCGCGAGGGGCCGTGCCTACGCGTCGCCAAGTAAACAGGGCAGGCTAGGGGCGGGGCTATGGAGGCGCCGCGACCTGGTTGGCCAAGAGGGAGGTGGGGGGTGCCGCGGATTGGTCGCGGTCGCGAGCTGCGTTGTGTGGAGCGGGACGGGTTCCCGAGCCGGCGGCCTGAGGGATGGACGAGACTAGCCCACTTGTGTCCCCCGAGCGGGCCCAACCCCCGGAGTACACCTTCCCGTCGGGCTCGGGAGCTCACTTTCCGCAGGTGCCGGGGGGTGCGGTCCGCGTGGCGGCGGCCGGCTCGGGCCCGTCTCCGCCCGGCTCTCCCGGCCACGACCGGGAGCGGCAGCCGCTGCTGGATCGAGCCCGGTGCCCAGCTGCGCAGTGTCAGACCCACACGGTGGCGGCGCAGGCCCAGGCCCTGGCTGCCCAGGCCGCGGCCGCAGCGCACGCAGCTCAGCCTCAGCGCGAGCGGAACGATTTTCCGGAGGACCCGGAGTTCGAGGTGGTGGTGCGGCAGGCCGAAGTGGCCATCGAGTGCTGCATCTTCCCGGAGCGCATCTACCAGGGCTCCAGCGGAAGCTACTTCGTCAAGGACTCTCAGGGGGTGAGTGCGGGGGTGCCCCGGGAGTTTGGGGGGGGTGAGTGCCCCCCGAGAGTGGGAGAAGGGGAATTGGACGGTTGCAAAAGAGAAAGTTCAGTGCCTGCCTCTAGCCCGCTTTGGAATGCTTCTGGGGACTGGAGATAGGAAAGCACCGCGGAATGAAGAAATCAATCAGAACCTTTAGGTGGGGGAGGCGTGAGTGGAAAATGAAAAGAGGAAATTGACCAGATACGGGACAGAGGCCCAGCTGCCTCCGGGAAGACTGCTCCTGGACCGAGAGGCGCTGACGGATGCTGCTTTCCAGTAGGTTCCTTAGCTTTACACAACTGTGACTTGTATTCGGCCATTGGCTTACAGATTTGGGGCTCCAGTCCCCTCCCCCCTTATTTTTGACCGAAGCGATGTGTCGCTGTTCTATAGGACAGTTGACCCATCACGGGCTTTGGGGATTTAATTTCAGCCTCTGGTTGGGGTGGGGTGGTTGTATCCTGCTACAATCCCAGGGTTCTTACTGACAGTCATTGATAACAGCGTGGGTGGACTCATCAGTTTCATCTACCCTAGTTATTGCTTACTTCTGGGAAAAGGTTCACATTATTGCTCATGGTTCCTCAGTATGGAACGTTTTTTAAAAACACGAGACTGCTGTGTTTTACTTTCATTTCTCTCCCATTCTTTTCAGCAAAGGCAGAGTTTTGCTGACCTTTATTTTGTCCCCTGCTTGTCGGGGGATGAGAGTAGGATAAGCTGGGGCATGACATGACCAGGGTAGGTGAGAAGTGAAATTGATTTGAAATATTTCAAATATTTAATTTAATTTGAAATATTTGATGCAGATCAAACCAGAGATATTGAAAGAATAAGTGGGTGAAGATATGCCAAATCCTTCCTGTTGAGGTTTTCAAATGTTCCAAAATAGTTCATTGTTAAAAATGTACTCTTGTTGTATGTATTAAAATGATGGGTGTCAGAGTTTCCTCAAAATTTCCTTGCATCTTGTGTGAACTTTTTTTTTAAGTCAGGCCCTTGCTATGTAGCCTAGGCTGGCCTCCAGCTCATAATTCTCCCACCAGAACCTCAGGCCAAGTGCTGTGTGGATTAACTGGGCAGCATGCTGTTTGTCTAAATGACCAGGATGGGCTGTGACTTGTAGCTCTTGGTCAAGTTCTTTGAATGATTCATTCACCCAGAGTTGTCCCTGAATTATCAAAAACCAGAGAGTATTTCTGCTGTCAACTTGTTTGTATGAACTGGATTGGGTAAAGCTTTGAGAATTTGCACAAAGGCCTCTGATTCAACCCCTAGCACAACAAAACAAATCAGCAACATAATTTTATCTTTTTTATTTGAGAACAGACTGAGATTTAAGATAGGAGTTTTTTGTTTGTGGGGAGTAGTGATGGTTGTCCTTTTGGCTAAGAGTCGGCTAAGGATCTTTTTGATAGCCACTGGGGGGAAGATTCTTGTTTTCTTTCATGATGTTATTCGTGCTCATTATGGAAGTGTCAGGTGAGCAGAGAAGTGATCTGGGTCTCTTGACAGGTGGGAGTAATAGGATCTGACTTCTAGAACCTCAAAACATACACAGAGAATGACAGACTATAGGTATGTGTTTTGGTGATGTTCAGGATCCCAGTCTATAATTTCTTGGCCACTATTTTTTTGTGAGGGGAAATTACACACAGATACCAGCCAAAACGTTTTGTTGTTTGTTTTGAGACAGGGTTTCCCTGTAGCTCCCAGCTACCTTGGAACTCCCTTTGTAGACCAGTCTGGCCTCAGTCTTACAGATAGGCACTTGCCTCTGCCTCTTTAGTGCTGGGATTAAAGGCATGCACTACCACTCCTGACTCTGGACAAAATTTATTAATGTAACTACCCTGCTGCCACTGAAAATGTGGCTTAGGCAGAGGACCACTTCCTAAATGCTGTGAAGGGTTAGACTGGCCTATAGACAAACTGTAGTTTTTTTTTTTTTTTTTTTTTTTTTTTTTTTGTCTTTGAGACAGTGTCTCCCTGTAGTCCCAACTGGCCTGGAACTCACTATGTAGATCAGGCTGGCTTTGAACCACCTGCCTCTGCCTCCTGAGTGCTGGGATTAAGGTCATGGGCCACCCTTGAATCTGCACCCAGTGTATTTATTTAACTAGCACTTACTATATACCAGGTACTGTTTTAAGTGCTTTATTTATTAATTTATATTAACACACTTATTCCTCATAACCACCTTCAGAGGTTGGTACTGTTCTTATCTCCACTGATGAGGGAACTAGGATGTTCAAGGTCCCCCAGCTAGTAAGGCATACTGAGTTTTGAGGTTATACTCCTAACACTCTGCTGCCTCAGAGTTAATCAGGCATTGAATTTATAGTTTCTCTTTTCAGCTATGGTATTGGTTAGTATTGAACTTGACTATGCGCGGCAGATATTTTAAAATAATAATGACATGAAAAAAGTTCATTTATCTCACTTGTGAAGGATGTCTATAGGCTGCTCAGGAAGACTTTTCACTTCAGCCCAGGATTCAGCTGTCCCTAGTGTGTGGCCTATATTTCATCCTCTAAGATGATTGCTTAAGCTTATTTGCTATGAGCTAGTTGGAGAAGAGTCTCCACCCTTTAGGGCTCTTCCTAGAAGCTGCACCAGATTTTTCTGCCTACATCCTCTTATCTAGAACATAGTTACTGTAGTGGTTGGGAGCTATAGTTTTTATCTTGCCTAGGCAAAAATGAGGGCTCTTGTATCAGGCAAGAAGAGGAAACAGATTGGAGGAACCAGTTGTATGTGTAATAGCTACTTTTGAAACAGTCTGAAACATTCTTGAATATGGTAGCCTTGATTCTCAGTTTACAATGGTTTCTGCCACAGCATGAACAAGGATGGACCTGGAACAGGAAGACAGAAATTGCTAGATTGGAAGTCATGGTGATGTGCTCTCATTGTACCTCCTTGATTCTACCCTTGTGCTTCAGGGCTCATGCTCACTCAGTACAGACTTTTTTTTTTTTTTTTTTTTTAAGTTATTTACTCTTATGTGGCTAGTAGTACTAGATATTCCTGTTGTCAGGAGTCACAGAACAGCATATGCTCTAACTAGTTTAAGAGGTTTTAAATGAGATACCGTATGTAATAGCTCCTAACGTAGTTCCTGGTACTTAGCAGGAACATAGTGAAGAGTTTTTCATTTTGTCCTTTTGTTTAATTTTATTTTCAGATGAGGGCACATGTTTTCCAGGCTGACCTCAAACTAGCCATATAGAATGACTTTGACCCCTTAATCTTCTTCCCTGTACCTCCTGAGTTGCTGGGATCACAGGCGAGCTTCACCATGATGTGCTTCATCTTGTCCTATTTTCAACATTTTTTTTGTTTTTGTTTTTGTTTTTGTTTTTTTTTGTATTTTTTTGAGACAGGGTCTCCCTGTATCCCCAGCTGTCCTGGAACTCACTATGTAGACCAGGCTGGCCTTGAACTCACAGAGATCCACCTGCCTCTGCCTCCCAAGTGCTGGGATTAAAGGCATGCGCCACCACACCTGGCTTCAACATTTTTTTAAATTAATTTTATTTATTATTTTTATTTTATGTGTATGCATGTATTGCCTGCATGTAGGTAAGTGCACCCATGTCGTGCAATGCAATGTCTGCGGAGGTCAGAAGAGGCTGTTGGATCCCCTGGGACTGGAATTATGGACAGTTGTTAGCTGTGGGTCCTGGGATTCGAACCCAGGTCTTCTGCAAGAATAACCACTGTCCTTGACAGCTGAGCCATCTCTTCAGCCCTCAACATGTGTTTTAAAAATTAAAAATAAATTAGGTGGTGCCGGGAGTGGTGGCGCATGCCTTTAATCCCAGCACTTGGGAGGCAGAGGCAGAGGCAGAGGCAGGTGGATCTTGGTGAATTTGAGGCCAGCCTGGTCTACATATTGAGTTCCAGGACAGCTGGGGCTACAAGGGGACCCTGTCTCAAAAAGACAATAAAATGAAATAAATAAATAAATGAAAAAATAAATTAGGTGTGCGTGCGTCTGCATACATGTATGTGTATCATGTGTCTGCCTCGTGTCAGAAGAAGGTGTTGGATCCTTTGGTACCTAGAGTTACAGACAGTTGTGAACCACTAGGTGGGTGCTAGGAACTGAACCCAGGCCTTTTGCAAGAGCAGCCAGGGCTCTTAACTACTGAGCTGTCTCTCCAGCCCCTTTGCCCTATTTTTAAGATATATGCCTAACCTTTAGATAAGCCTTTCTTGGCTACATGGTGTCATAAGGCAAAGTAGTATAATTTTGAGTGGATGTTCTTTTTTTTTTTTTTTTGGTCTTTTTGAGAGAGTGGATGTTCTTAAAACCACTGAGAATAGCAATTCATTAGGTAATGCTATTTGGTCCAGTTATGGTGTCTGTAACGATATCTACCCACATATTCTAAGAAGTTCACATCATCATTTCAATGAGTTTTCAGCCTTTTAAAAACATTTATTGGGGGTTGTAGAGATGGCTCAGTTGTTAAGAACACTGTCTGGAGCTGGACCTGGTGGCGCACGCCTTTAATCCCAACCCTTGGGGAGGCAGAGACAGGCAGATCTCTGCGAGTTCAAGGCCACCCTGATCTACATAGTGAGTTCCAAGATAGCTGGGGCTACAGGGAGACCCTGTCTCAAAAAGACCAAAAAAATACACACTGCCTTGCTCTTTCAGAGGACCTGGGTTTGATGCTCAGCACCTTCATGGCAGTTAACAACTGTCCCTAACTCTAGTTCCAGGGATTCTTATGCCTCCTTCTAGCCTTTGTGGGCATTGTACGACACTGGTGCACTTACTTACATGTAGGCAAAATACCCATAAACATAAAATTGAAATAATTATTGGCCATTTGTATTTTAAAAAATTTGCATTTATTTATTTATTTATTTATTTATTTATTTATTTATTTATTTATTTTTATTGTGCATATGTGTGTGTACCACAGCACATATGTAGAGGTCAGAGGACAACATGAGAGAGT